CGCTGAAGGATGTAGTAGATTAAGACTCTGGTGTAGGAAGTTGAACCAGTGAGACGAGCAAGAATGTCAAAGTAGAATAAAAGTAACTTGTCAATGGTTCAAGTCGGACCGAAACGTCGTCATAAGCTCCTCTCCCATTAGCGGATTATTTATGTATTATTCCAGTCACGGTACTGTGCCTTTATATTCTGTATCTAAGTGCCACTAGTAAAGACAGCTGTGGTAATAGCCATGATGGATCAACACCACCACACTAAGCAGTGTACTCTAGCACTACTGAAGGCACTACTACCCCCCACATAAGCCATGGACACTGCACGAAGTAGACGGTATACAGCAGCCTGGGTTACAGCACATGGCTGTACTCTTGTGATTCTTAGTGTCCATAAATCTGACGTAAGTTCAGCTGCTGCTTTTATTGTGGCTGGAAGGGCGGGGTTGGGCTGGAAATTTTCACAGCAGGAGGTTCTCACTAGTACGAAGCCATAACACTGGCCGTAAAAATCATGAACCCAGCCGTGAAGCAAAAGATTGAGTCTCGTAGGGAGTGGAATTGAGTACTATCACAGGCGAGCGCCTGTTTCTCTCAGAGAAATTTTGAGCGCTGCCAAAGCCCCTGGAGCTCTCAGTACTCAGGTGATGGAGCCCTGTATCCTCGCTAGTATTTACTATTCTATTCCCTATTCTCTTTTCCTATTCATGTTTTAATGTCCTCCCTCCATTTCACGATTCTTCTGTTTTCTCTTGTATTCATGATTTTAGCTTCCATTCTCCCTCCCAACTTTTATCCTTCATCATAGCTTCAATCCTATCTCCATCCATCCTCCTTCCCACCATTTCTTCCCCACCTGTCCTATCTTCTACCCTTCCTTACATCCTCACACCATCTTCCACGCTGCCTTGTGTCACCCTCTCTTCTTCCCATCTTCCTTCCACCTTCCTGGCTCCATCATTCTTTCTATCCCCTTCTCTCCATCTTTCTCCCACCTACCATTCTCTCTCCTTCGTTCTATTTCATCCCTTCCTTATATCCCATTTTGCTCATTCATTTCCTTTATCACCACTACATATGTTGGGTATTACATTGTGTGCATCTTACACTGTACTCACCTAGTTGTACTCACCTAGTTGTACTCACCTACTTGTACTCACCTAGTTGTACTCACCTAGTTGTACTCACCTAGTTGTACTCACCTACTTGTACTCACCTAGTTGTACTCACCTAGTTGTACTCAGCTAGTTGTACTCACCTAGTTGAGGTTGCGGGGGTCGAGTCCGAGCTCCTGGCTCCGCCTCTTAACTGGTCGCTACTAGGTCACTCTCCCTGAACCGTGAGCTTAAAGCTATGTATGGATCCTGCCTCCACTACATCGCTTCCCAAACTATTCCACTTCCTGACTACTCTGTGGCTGAAGAAATACTTCCTAACATCCCTGTGATTCATCTGTGTCTTCAATTTCCAACTGTGTCCCCTTGTTGCTGTGTCCCATCTCTGGAACATCCTGTCTTTGTCCACCTTGTCAATTCCTCTGAGTATTTTGTATATTGTTATCATGTTTCCCCTACCTCTCCTCGTAGGACATGCTCCTTAGCTCCGGGACTAGTCTCGTTGCAAACCTTTGCACTGTCTCTAATTTCCTGACGTACTTGCCCAAGGGTGGGTTCCAAACTGGCGCTGCAGACTCTAATATAGGCCTGACGTACACGGTGTACAGTCTTGAACGACTCCTTACTGATATGTCGGAAAGCTATTCTTAGGTTTGCTAGTCGCCCACATGCAGCAAGAGTTATTTGGTTGATGTGCGACTCAGGAGATGTGTGTCAAATCTCGTGTCACCTCTATTTTAAGCTTCCCGATGCTTGTATTTTCAACTTCCATCCATACCAGCTTCTACCCAGCCTCATCCTCTCAGAATTTACATTAATGAGTCTCCTGAGTATCTTGTACGTCATAATCATGTCTCTTCTGGTTCCAATCATGTGCTTGACAGAAACGCAGTCACTCTAGCGCTGTGCACCTGCGGTGATATGCTAGATGTAATGCTTACCCCTGGATCTCTTTCTCCTCGTTAGCTTATCACTGCTAAGTGACCAGGTGACCAGGTGACCAGGTGACCAGGTGACCAGGTGACCAGATTTACCTAGAACTATCCTATTTAAAGTACAGCAACAACCCCAGGATGCATCCCACGACGGCTAATTAACGCCCTGGTATCTATTTAGTGCTAGGTGAACAAGGATAGGAGGTAATATCCAAGGAAGATACGTGATCCTGGGAAGGAAGTTATCTCTTCCTTCACTGCTCTGAAAGAAGTTGAAAGAAATGCTTTCACCCATTTTTTAGAAATTATTTTCAAATTATAATTTCATGATTGTCTTATTAGGTAATGTTAAAAAAATGAGATTTTTATGTATGAGAGAAATGTGTCAACTTTGGTTAATTTGTTTCTCATACTGAGGAAGAAATGAGAAATACAGAATTGAGAATATTCAGTCTCAT